GGAGGGTGTGGGCCCGGGCCAGCTGGTGGGACGGCAGACACTGGCCACCCCCCCGATGGGTGAGGGGCAGCCCAGGGGGGGTCCCAGCCAGGGGAGGGGGCTGCGTCTTGCCCACTGCAGGGCTGGGAATGCGAGAGGATCCTCCAGCCAGAGGGAACCGAGGGGCCGGAGCTGCTGGGAATGGGGAGGGGCACAAGAAACTGAGCCCCCCTTCTGCCCCTCAAGTCACCGCAGCACAGGGACCTGGTCCTGCTGGCCCCACATAAACCCTCGAGGGGAGAGAAGGGGGCAGTCAGACCCCTCTGGGTTTGCCCCCCTTGCCCGTGGGGGGGACACCACCCTCGGGGTGAGGTCCCAAATCCCTCCAGCTCCTGCCGATCCCCTGCCCTGGCCCTGACTTGCTGCTGAAATGCCAGGTGTGTTTGGAGAACATGCAGGGGGTTCTCACCTGCTTCTCTCTCTGCTGCTCAAATCCAAGTATCTTCACATCAGCTCCATCCTCCAAATTCAGGATCGATCCTGCACCCGGTGGCAGGATGCTGGGTGTGCTGGGGGCTGGGGATGGGGGGCAGGGGGTGCTGGGGCTGTCAGCCCCACTTGGCAGCACCAAAGGGGAGAGGTGATGGGGACCAGCCTGTGGGACGTGGTGGTCGGAGAGGGGGCTGAGTCCTTCTTGTCCCCTTGTCTAGGTGATGTCCACGTTGGCATGGCTGACCGGAACGGGCAGCTGGAGGTGGAGGTGATCCAGGCAAGGGGACTTATCCCTAAGATGGGTTCCAAGTGCATCCCTGGTAAGTGGCTGGAGAGGGAGGGGGTTTGGGATGGAGGGGAAGGGATGGGGAGGGGAGCTGTGCTGGGACCACCACCAGAGCCTGCTCCAGGTCAGCATCTCTCACCTATTTCCCACCACAGCCACCTACGTGAAGGTTTACCTGCTGGAGAACGGCGTCTGCCTGGCCAAGAAGAAGACCAAGGTGGTGAAGAAAACCTGTGACCCGTCATACCAGCAGCCTCTGCTCTTTGAGGAGGCCCCCCAGGGCAAAGTCCTGCAGGTGATGTGCTCCCTACAGACATGCTCCAGGTCAGCATCTCTCACCTATTTCCCACCACAGCCACCTACGTGAAGGTTTACCTGCTGGAGAACGGCGTCTGCCTGGCCAAGAAGAAGACCAAGGTGGTGAAGAAAACCTGTGACCCGTCATACCAGCAGCCTCTGCTCTTTGAGGAGGCCCCCCAGGGCAAAGTCCTGCAGGTGATGTGCTCCCTACAGACACCTGGGGACAGGGAGGGATTAGGGGAGCAAGGACACAGCACAGAAGCCATGTCCTCCCTGCTGTCCTTCATACTATGGCCTCCCCACCCTGATCACAGCAGGTCCTCCCTGCCTGGGCACAGGTTGCTGAGTTTTCCCCAGAACTCCCTCTTGGTGAGCTGGGAGAGCTCCCCTAACACCTCCTCTGCCCCACAGGTGATTGTCTGGGGAGATTACGGGCGGATGGACCACAAGTGCTTCATGGGGATGGCCCAGATCATCTTGGAGGAGCTGGATCTCTCCAGCACAGTCACGGGCTGGTACAAACTCTTCCCCACCTCCTCGTTGGCCGACTCCAGCATCGGACCTTTGACACGGCGCCTCTCCCAGTCCTCCCTGGAGAGCTCCACCAGCCCCTCCTGCCCGTAGGTGCCAGGTTGGTGGGAGAGGCTGGGAGTGGAAAGGAGACATCCTGCCCTAACCAAAACTGTTAGTGGATCGCTGTAAATATCCCGTTCTTTTGGGTTTGGTTGGGTTTTTTTGACCCCTCTTTAATTTGTTTTTAAACCTCCTTCCCAGAACAATCCCCACTACCTGCATCCCAGCAGCGGAGGGGGAGTGAGGGCTGGGGGTTTTGAGGCAGGGGGAAGGAGAAGCAAAGAAAACCCACCACACCCCCCCAGTGAGGGCTGCGACTGCCGGCCCATCCCGAGGCTGCTCCCACCTCATCCCAGCACCCCGTGGGACAGGGCTGGAAGTGACACCTTTACTCTCCTGACCACCCTCGAGAGCATCTTGGCCGGGTCCATCCAGCGCCGCCGCAACGAGGCTCCTTGTCCTTCCACCCCCTTTCCTTGCCTCCCTGGGAAAGGGAGCGTTTCAAAGAGGAAAGAAACAAACCTCAGACAAAAATAAGAACCCAACTCAGCACTATTTTTTTCTTTTCCAAGGAATGTAGCATCTCCTCTTATGTAGCTTGGCCACGTGCTGACAACACCCTCACTCTGCAATATCTAACAGACTCCGGATTGTCCGGAAACATCTCCCAGTCACTTCCCATCTGTTTGTTTGCTGCCACAAATCCTGCAACACCCACCAAGCACTTCTGGGGGCTGTTTTTCTTGGGTTTTTTTCCTATTTTTTTGTTTTCCTGGTAGCATGTAGCCTGTGACCAGTGACATTGCCAAAGCGAGAGAGAAGAGGAAAAGGTGCACCCACCTCACCCGAGCATCCGCTGGTCTCATCCTTGTGTTTCACCACTGACCTTGGTCTTGTCCAGCCAAAGCAAGACCCAAAATAGGAACTCTGTGATGCCTCACGTGAAAAGTGGAGTCAGGAGAAGGTGACCTGATGGAGCAGGAGTACCAGGATGCTGGCTGATGGTCTGGCTCCCAGCACCTTCCTTCCACAAGGGCCAGCTCGAGGTCTGGGTTGCTCTCCTCAGCTCTGGGATGCTCTCCTTGGTTCTGGGATGCTCTCCTCAATACTTGAATTCCAAGTAGGAGCAGAGGGTTTGCCAGAACCCACGGCAGGACACACCTTTCTCCAACTCTCAACTCCTTGGTACGCTACAGGGGAACATCTCAACAGCATCTTTTGCTGTTCTGGAATTTAGGGTGACCGAGAGGTAACGAACAAAGGACTAGATGCTTTGAAATAATTATCAGGATGAGTGTTTGGGGTTTTTTGTTTGTATGTTTTGTTTGTTTGTTTTTAAAGCAGCATTTTGGTTCCCCACCAAGGGACCAGTTCTTGTAGCAAAACCAAGAAATATGGAAGCTTTTTTTGAAGGTGCCTAATGAAATTTGCTGAAAATACTCAGGGGAGACACCACTAGAAACTCTGGTTTCTTCATAGAATATACTAACCACAATGACTGTCCTGAAGGATCAGTTTCCAAATGAGAGGAAAAAAGAAAAGAAATGAAAACCAACACACCAAAAGATGAGCAGTCTTGAGACTGGAAGAGGACAAAAGGTTAATGGGGAATTTTTCCTGCCCGGATGGCTCTGACCTTCAGTCTTTAACACAACTCACCCCACAGCACAGTTGGGCTTTTTTACAATTATTTCTTGGCCAAGCAGAGAATTTCACAATGCACAGAGCACAACAAACCAACCTGTGCTTCTCCTGGTGACACCAGGAACCACCTCGAACCTGTTGCCACGAGGACACAAAGGGAAAGCTGAAGGAAAAGGCTGTGATGATGAAGCTGCCCCCTCCACCACCCCAAAACTGGGGGCTGCAAAACCCCATGGCTCAGTGATGGGTTTACCTGGCACCACCACCATTTTAGTGACATCATGGCAAGGAATTTCAGCTGCTGTCACAGACTTTGGATCTTTACAAACCAAAACAGACCTCTGAGAAGAGAGCAGGCTGGGTGCTGCTGACTGGGGATGGAGAGGGGGCTCCAAGCCCCAAATGCCTCCCCATAAAGGATTAAATCCTCATCTTCTGGAGTGGGAAGTGCTTGGTCAAGCAACATGCCCCAATCTGGGGGACCTTAGAGCACCTTCCAGTGCATGAAGAGCCTACAGGAAAGCTGGGGAGGGACATTTGACAAGGGCTTGTAGTGAGAGGACAAGAGGTAATGGATCAAAACTGGAAGAGGGAGATTTAGGTGAGACATTAGGAGGAAATTCTGGAGTGTGAGGGTGGTGAGACCCTGGAACAGGTTGCCCAGAGAAGCTGTGGCTGCCCCATCCCTGGCAGTGTTGAAGGGCAGGTTGGATGGGGCTTGGAGCAGCCTGGGCTGGTGGGAGGTGTCCCTGCCCATGGCAGGGGTTGGATCTAGATGATCATTAAGGTCCCTTCCAACTCACACCAGTCTGATTAAATTATTGAATTTGAGCTTGTGCTGAATCACAACATGTAGGATCGTGGGATCCACTAACCACCTCCAGCTGAGGAAGCAAACTTGGTGCCCTGACTACTGAAACAGGAATAAACAATGGCTTGAACATGATGTTCCTTGCAGAGCACAAAGCAGTTGCACGAGGTCAGCGACGCCTGGATGAGGCTAAACTTTCTCTGCCCTGGCACGCTGGGTTTTTAAATATACATGAGGGAAGGCATCTTAAGAGGACAAGCTTTCTGCTCCTTCAAGCTAACATTATTTGCTTTTGCTTTACCAGCTCGATTTCAGTAGGAAAAAATGAATAAAACCTGCCTGTGGTGGGACAACAACCATGTCCACAGGGAAGTGGAACAGCAGGATGGGCAGAGCAGGGAGCTCTGCAGGTATTTTCTGCTCACTGGGGTGGAGGCAGCATCCCACCCCCTTCCAGCACAGAGCTCAGGGGCTGGAAATCTCTCCCAGGAGCTGCAGGGTTTTGCTGCTCCCCCTCTCCACGAGCAGTGTAATGCTTTTCCTGAGACAGAGAAGAGAAGCAAAGAGCAGCAGGAAGGCTGGGGCAGCTGGGCACACAGTCCCAGCAGCAGATGCCCCAGGTCTAGCAAAAGGCTCCCTGGTTCTGTGCCAGCTGGAAAACCTGCCCTGGCTGGCACGTGGAAAATCCAGAGAAAAAGAAGCACCATCTGCAAGACACACCTGGGCACTCCAGGGAATGTGGAAAACACAAATACTTGGGCTTATTTTTGTATCCTCAATAGACTGAGGCTGCATTGAGGAGAAGGTCAGAGCTGAGGTCAGGACACTCTGCAGCCCAGTTCCTGCCCAGGGATGTGGTTTTGTTTGCTGCAATGTGATGGGATCATGGGAATGATCCCACCTGCTTGTTGAGAGCCACCAGTGACTTCAGATGATTGTCACTTACCCACTAGACAGACTGAAACCCATCAAACCTTAACTTCTGATTAACTTCTTCACTCCAGCACTAAAGATCCAGTCTCCCCAGGGAGCTGGTTCTCACTTCTCTGGGGAAGCACCTGGGGAAGTATCTGGGGCAGGACCCACCTCACACGTGTGGAAAAGCTATAAATGGGAGAAGAGGACCCATGTGCCAGGTCTACACCATCAGCTCCTTCTCATTTCTGGACCTGAGAGACCATGTGTCAGATGTTTTCCCTCCTCAAACAACAAGAACTAAAAAGCCAAGACACCCAGAGGGGCTTTTGACACACCAGAAAACCCACAAGCTTCTGGACTCCAGATTTTGGTTTATTTTTTGTTTTGTTTTGTTTTTCTGGGGGAATGTATTATTGCAAAGGGCATTTATTTATTTTTTACTATACTCCACAATGTGCAGAAGGTGGCTGCACTGACTGGGTTTTAGGTGTTACATTATTTCCTCTTCCCTCTACCCTCCATCAGGAAAGGAAATTCAAACCATTCAACCTCCCACATCTTTTCCCCTAGAAGGAATAATTTAATATCAAACTGAACCCACTTTGCAGCCCATTTTATACCCAGCACAGCAGAGAGTTGATGCTGGTGTCAGAATCAAGGCACCCTGCTCGAGTAACAAGGATGGATTTTGCCAAAACAGCCTTGAAATTGTACTTAAACATCCCCTAAACTTTAGTGAGGAAAAGAGAGTCGTGGCCACGCAGCAAAGCACAGAAAACACTGCTTGATTCCCTGCCCAGGCTGAAGTTACTCCTGGGTTTTCTACAAGCTTTACTTGCCAAAGCTGAGTGACATTTTTCCAGGGCACCAGAAGGTGGGCAATCAATCAGAAATTAGCCCCTGTTTCACCAACACAGGCTTCTGGCCTCAATCAGAAATTAGCCCCTGTTTCACCAACATCATCCCAGCGTGTTGGAAGCACAGGGAGAAGATGCTTAGACATAGTTTTCCTGAAATTCAGTGAGATGCAGGAGCAATTACTGCCCAGTAATCAGAAACCTGAACCTATTAAGTAGCTTTGGAAAAATACCCCAGGGTATCCGAGATGGTGGGAAGTGTTCCCTGCACCACCTTTTCCAGCTCTTAAAACCTTTTCTCCAGAAGCAGTTACAGATGGAAGTAGGAGACCAGAAATTCCTATGGGAGTGAATCAGGATCCCCTCTGCTGATGGGAATCACTTCTGCTCCCTGGTTTACACAACTGCTCCAGCTCTGATGAGACCTGGAGTCAAACCTGTAGTTGTGCACGTTGGTGCCCACAGGTGCACGTGAGAGGAGGTGACACATTCCCAGCCCTTTGCTTGGAAACACCCAGCAGCAGGTGAAGCAGCTGATGGGCTTTCAGGCATGAAGAGTCTACTTTCTATTTTCTTCCAGTTGACTCAGAGACTTCTTCCCAGATTGACGGGAAACGCTTGGACAAGGCACACTTGGGAACTTCCTGAAGGGTGTGCATTTGGTTACTGATTTGGAAAATAACTGCATTTTAAAGGTCAAGGAACAGTGCTCAGGCACTGCTCTTCCTGATGGCCAAACTCAAAAGTCTAAATGTGTATTTCATCACTGATGGAAAAAGATATTAAGAGCTTTCTCCTTTCCTCTGGGTTTTCATGCCTGC